CGTCACCATCTCCAGAGTACCACAGACTCTATTCAGCCGTAATCGGCGTGAATCAATTGCCGCTTTTCCACTCGGAGGCGCGACCAGAATATTGCCGGGTCGTCGAGATTCGGAATCCAGAATGGGTGGACCACCGAGCAATACCGGAAGCTCGCACAATCTTCAATTAGATATTATGGACGATATCGCGGAGATGAAAGCGAAGAAGGTTAAGATTTAATGATAAATTTAACTCGGTCGGTAATTTTTTACCGATCGAGTAAGCAATGCATCAGATCCATCTCCAGATTAAACAATGCATCATTTTAATTAATTAATATGCATAAAGAAATGTTCTATACATTCCACGTATATCATTGTGTCTAAAATTAATCACTTTTATTAATTCACTCATTTTCTTTACTTCATCAATTTTAATAATTCGCGCGAAGAAAAAACAAAATTAAAAAGGGGAGTTACGTTTCAACTGAAACCAATCTTATCCGTAGGTGCTCTTAAAGATGTACAAGACGTCGACGGAACAAGTGTGCGAGATCCAGCCACTGGAAGGTAATAGCTCGACTCAACGATACACCCAATATCCTAAACGACGATTCTCTGAAATGCCCGCACCTTCTGTGTCACCGACCGCCTCTATCCGAAGACGGGCCTCGGAAGTGCCGAGAGCCACGAGTGCTTCCGTTTCCGGCGCAGCGGGCATCGTCTGCTCCAACACCGATCTGATATCGATCCTTAGCTCATTGGCCTCTTCCGCGACCGAGATCAACCGATGCGGCGAAGAAGGATCGAGTACACGCGAGGAGAGCAAGTCGAGTTGGTCTGGGAAGACGGCTGAACAGAAACGAAGTCGATTGAAAAGTTTTCGTTCCAACAGTTTCGACGTATCCATTCTTCACGGGGCGAAAAGCAAGCTGGCCGGATCCTCGAAAGCTGCAGCTTCGACTATCATGGCTCCGTCGAATTGGTTCACCAAGAGACATCAACCGATGTCGAAGAAACAGAAGCCGGAAGATTTAATCACGGCTAGTTTGAACTTCAAGTTCGATAAATCGAAGGTCGTGAAGGCGGTTAAAGAGACACTGGGCAAAACGTCTCCTAGTATCGATATCAGGCACAAAGTTGTATGGGATGACACCAGTGGAACGAAGGTAGACGCTCAGGTCTGTTGTATTTCTCGTTCTTCATTGTATTTCGTGTGCGATAATTTATTAATTGAGCTTTCTTGCACAAATATTATTGGTAAAATTTTACAAATCACGAGTTATTTTAATGATTTATTTTTATGGTAGCAACAAATTTAGTTTCATCAAATGAATTTTATAAATAAAAGTCATCCGATTCAACATATAAATAATATAAAATAAATATAAATAAAATAAAATAAAATTGTGTAATTACGAAAGGAAATTCTGTAATTTACGTCTTGATTTAATATTATTAATGTAAATTATTGTATAGAATTATAATAATATTATTTGATTAGTAAGGAATTGTAGGTTTTTGTATATATATGGTTTTCTCAATTTTTTCAAAGCAAATATAGAAAAATATTTTGTTGTAGGTATTGGGTAGCGCAATTGAAAAAATTTTAACGGCGCAAAGAGGAAATGACGCGGAAGCAACCGGATCGAGCAGCAAATCCTCGGTATCTCCGAACAAACCAAGATCAAGTAAAGTGACGAGTTGGTTTTCGAGTACCAAAGACCAAGAACAAACCGAATCCTGCGAACCATCTATCTGTTCTTCTTTAAAAGATCTATTCGTCAAGTAGTATGGAAATACAAACACGGGTCTCGCTCGTTTGATTAACGCTTCTTCGTTTAAGAATTTATTCAAAGATTAACACGACCTAATAGATAATTGATCATCTCATTTAATTCAAGCTAATGAATACTACGTATATTTTCTTTCCATTCCTTCTACGAGATGTTGTTTTATCATTTTTATCAATTTTAATATTCTAATATTCATGATTCTGAATATCTATTAGTAAAAATTTCAAAACTGGAGTATTTTCTATTGTATTTTTATTCCTTTTGTTTTCCATATTACATTTATAGATTCTCAGTAATGTCATAATTATATTATAATTATTTTCTATGTTTATTAATACTTAATCATCTTTATAAAAATGTTTTTAATTTCATTGAAATTTTACAGTTGGATGAATGAAACAGATTCATTGACATTGCGGGATCCATGGTTAAAAATTAGATATAAAAATCTATAAAACATCGTAGATCTAAATATTTCAATGGATGCAACTTTCAACAAGTAAATGTGAACAAAGGTTTAATCAACTTCTATATTTAAATAAATTTTAATAAATTATAATATTCAAAATATAATTAAGCAAAAATTCGAAGCTAAAATTTCGAAATATAATTGAAAAATATGTCGTATAATAAATGTTATATGATATTCCATAAATAAAAAAAATATTGTTTTCTTATGAGAAGAGTCAAATATAAAACAGATTGTTATTGAACGATACGACCGTTTCGAAATTAAAATATTTCGATCATATGTGTGTATAGTGTATCCCGTATAAAAGATCATTCAATCATAATACAATTTTTTATTTATGAATATGATTTCAAACAATTAAGAAATTATATTTACAAAAAAAAGACAAATTATTTAATTTGGTTTTTTTAATAATTCTTTATAAATTAAT